AAATGTAAATATACAAGCAGCAATAAAAATGAATTCTGTGGGTTCCAAATGTCAAATGTAAATTTGTGCAATATAAAAGTTAGCGATGAGTGTGAGAGAATACAAATACATTCAGAACAATCTAAAGAAAACTGAAACTTTTCCTTTGGAAATTTAATGCCGACGTAACAACAAAAATTGAACTAGCCAAAGCCCTATTGTTATTGCTGGGAAATGGGGTTACATTGCCACCAGCTTTTTTATACTCTGAAGTGCTCTAGATAATATGCATGTCCATGGGTCAATAGGCAATTATACTTTATAAATTATACCAAAAAACTGGGGCTAAACACCAACACTATAAAGGGGGAAATCACACGTGCATTAACATGCCAAACTCTAAAACACGGCGACCTCAAAATCCCACACATTCCACATGGGTCAGAGGTGAAAAAGGTGACAGAGATGCAAACCCACCCCCCCCTCCCCCAAGAAGAAAAATTGAGAACTATCAGATTTCAATTTGCTGTATTTTTTTTACCCCACTAGATAGTGATCCCTGTCCCAAAGCAAACAAAGAGCATCATCGAGTGGGCAAATGGTTCATGGTACATCATATGGCCATCGCTAGCAGATGGGCATTCAGCTAGTTTTGAGGATCAGGCAAAGAGAGCGCTGGCTCCACTACACCACAGACAACGTGTGGTGCCTTTACAAGGGTAGGTAGTACTGAAAATTCAGTTTACATTATTGACATGCTATAAGCCAGTTAGACAGACACTTTACTCTATTCAGATGTTCCAGCGTCATGCATCGATGTAAAAGTTAACTTTGCATTCACTATAATGAAGTGGGTGGTAGTGGTCACGAAGATTAAAAACCAAAATATCACCACACTTCAGACTTAGTCCTCTTATAAGGCTGAAACGTCTCTGGAGTGCTGTAACTGCCTTCCACCATGTATTCACTGACACTAAAGAATCCCATGTTCATGCATCACCTGTGGGTCTGGAACACCTGTTGCTAACTTTGGTTAATGCTATTTAATGTGAGTATTTCAAAGCATGGCAATCAACCATGGTTTTAAAGATAATTAAAATTTGAAATGGTAATACTAACCATCAGGAATTTTATTGTGGTTTTCTGTGAAACTGTTTCACCCCTAATCTTGACCATCAGTGAGGAAGAGACAGACTTCCACATTCCGTCAATTATACACTTTCTCCTAGGGAGTCGGCCTCTGAGAACATGCAGTTTGACCAGGCTTGTTTATCACCGGCTAAGCATCAGCGGCGAATGTCCACCAAGGCGTGCCAATATTGTGGGAAGTTGGGACACTTTATTGCTTTGTGCTCAGTAAAAGGGCATGCCCACCAGTAGGGAAGGGAATTCTGGCGCAATTCCTCATTGTCTGCCTTTGTAATCCTGGCCCCAGTTTAGCACACAGCTCCAAAAGGATTGCTCTTGGAAATCTGAATCGACTTAGAAGCCAGTCATCATCATGGGCCAAGAAATCACTATGATCCCTGAATACGCGCTCTCTTCTAATTCTTCCATAAGCTATGTCTTCCAATAATGGAAGAGCTGCCATGGTAGTTGTAATAGTTCGGTCATTTTCTGCACCCCTAACAATTCCTTTAAAAGAAATGTAATTGAAGCATTTTTGTAATTCATACTTTACTTTTTTAAGTTAATCAGAGTGTCTAGGAAATTTTTATTAGTAATCCATGACTTCCTGTTTCCCTGGGGTATAAATATGACGTGACACAGAGACCCATTTCTCTTATCCACTCTTCAAAATAGGAAAGACAAGAGAACATGCCATTTGAGTAAGACAGATGTGTGCTGATCTTCATAAGTCAGGAAATGGCTACAGGAAAATAGCTACTCGCTTAAACTTGCCAATATTTACAGTCAGAGCAATAATTAAAAAGTTTAAAACAACTGAAACTGTGACAATCTAGGCTGGATGAGGACCCAAGTTAATCTTGACACCATGCACAGTGAGGAGGATGGTAAGGGAGGTAAAAGATTATCCAAAGCTCATTATTAGAGAACTGCAGCAAAGGGTGGCATCTTGGGGTCACCAAGTCTCCAAAACAACCATTAGACACTATCTAATTGGCAACAGGATGTTTGGGAGGCATGCCAGGAAAAAGCCTTTGCTGTCCTACAATCACAAATGTAAACATGTGTAGTTTGCTAAACGCTATTGGGACTTTAACTGGAACTGTGTGCTTTGGTCAGATGAGACTAAGATTGAGCTTTTTGGCAAAAAAACACTCCAGGTGTGTCTGGCGTTAAACAAAGGATGAATATGTGGAAAAGGACCTCATGTCCACTGTTAAGCATGGTGGAGGATCTGTGATGCTGTGGGCCTGATTCTCTTTCAAAGGCCCTGGGAACCTTGTTAGAGTGTATGGCATCATGAACTTGTTGAAATACCAGGACTTTTTAAATAAAAATCTGGTTGGCCTCTTCCAGGAAACTGAAAATGGGTCATCATTAGGTCTTTCAGCAGGATAACGATTCTAAACATATGGCCGAGTCAACAGAGAAATGTTTCGCTAGACACAAAATCAACCTTCTTCCATGACCAGCTCAGTCCCCAGACCTAAATTCCATAGAAAACCTGTGGGGTGAGCTGAAGAGGAGAGTGCATAAGGGAGGACCCAAGACTTTGGATGATCTAGAGAGACTGTGCAAAGAGGACTGGTCAAACATCCCTCTCTGTGTATTCTCCAGCTTTCAGTGTGAGATTATACTACTGCAATAAGAAATGAGTTTATTATAAGCCTAAGTACACATCTTTACCAGGGGTGCCAATAATTGTGGAGGGTGCTGTACATATGAATGCAGGAAACCCGGTTCCTGACCACATATCAATGTCTATAGTCCACTGGTCCTTTGGTAAATTGTACAGATCTCTGTTGAATTCAATTGCTTTTAATTTAAGCAGATAATCATTTGTTTTGCAGTTAAATCAGCCATGTTATAGCATGTTTTGCCACTCAGTCTGTCTGAGGGGGGCGTGTCCCAGCGGGGAAGTGATGTTATACCTTTATTACGTACCCTTTATTACAGGTGCTTAGCACAAGAAACAGCTGACCTGATTTCTACCCGGACGCACGGAGAAACACACCTCCTGTTAAGGTCGGTACCATCTGGTAAGGGAAATGATAAATTATCCATATGAGACGGTCCACCAGAGCTAGTGTAACTTGGTGTTTTCAACAGGGGTGATCTGTAGCAAAAAGGTTATACCCTCTATATATCCATATCATATATTCATGCTTGTCAGTGTACATATGAAGGACTCTGTCATAAATTAAAAATATGTTTGTGTACTAGAAATACAATTGGCAGAGTTGACATACTTTTATTTATAGTAGACAAATTGCAGCCCAAGTGGAGAATTCTGTGCTGTGTTAAGGATACAGTGCTGGGCTTCCAGGGGGAAAAAATGCAAACTAAATGGAAAACTAGAATAGAAAAATACTGTACTGATCAAAGGTAATGCTGGTCACATGATTGTTGTGCCTTTCAGTTTCTGTTATGAACTCTCACAGGATCCTTGTACTTTTCAGCAATGGCGAGTTCGGAGGGCACCACTGCTCCATGCATTCAAGCCGTAAGTGTTTAATCACTAAAATGAACTTTAACATAATGAATGATGTTATTTGTATTAGTGAGATTCTGTTTGCCATGCTCAGCAGCCTCTACTTTGTGGTACTCAGAAGTCCGGGGATTGATGATCCATAGTTATATTGCAAAATGCATTGTCTCTTAGTCCATCCTTATTATTAGTTTTCTGCTTCCCCAAAGGTTTTAATAATACTACTACTACTAATAATAATAATAGCAATAATAATAATAATAATAAGAGGAAAAATATTGTTCGTCCTTGTTATTAGTTCTCTGCTTCTCATAAACTGTGGCAAGCTTATCTCAGTACTTATGACACTGGAATCAGGGATACAGTATGAACAGATTATCGAAATTTAATTTCTTAGGCTAAAATAATGTGTCATGTGATTGGAATATCAAGGAAATATGTTAAGTTGTACATAGATACTGAGGAGACACTGCCCTGCACATACATATAATTATGTAGTACTGAAAATGCTAAACTAAATCCTTGATTACAAAAAAAAAAGTAATTAATACTGTGATGTATGATGATGCTAAATATCCAAATACATTGTTCAGTGAGTCTTAGAAAACTCATTCTTAATCCTGATGTCTGCACAATCTGTTGCTGTACAGGACATGCTTATCTTTACCTTATACAGGGTCCGTATTTTGATTTACAGTCATTTCATCATTTAAAAAATACCCTCTTATTAAATCAGTTTCACCTGTGATTTTCATTTTATTTTAAGAAACATCATGTCTAAGTACTTCTCTTTTTCTTCTTTAGGAGATTAATGATTTACTGGTTAAAGGTAATCCTATCTAACAATTTGCCAGCCTGAAATCACTTTCCAAACAGGCCTCATACTCATGTTAAGATTAAACTACCTCATTTAGAAAATTGTTTTTTATGTATTTTTTTTCCACTTTCAGGCTATGATGACTGGATGTATGAGGGGTTTGCAGATGAGGAGTAAGTTAAATTAAATACTAAAATTACCCCCTGAAATAAAAATCATGTTTATTTAAATGTCATGGGAAAATATGTAAAATACATTTAAGAAACTATTAGACATTTAGAAATGAATGACAGAGGAGATATGTATGAATATGAGACTAAAACATAACCTCACTTTATCCATCAAGACAGACCTTTTTCTAGGTTTAAATTTATGTCCAGTTTCGTGTTGCTCTTGTGTTCAATGACATTAGAGACATCAAATCACATGTATTTATAAGAGTACGACTTGTATGTTAATTGCCTGCTGTTTTCTTTCTACAGATCAAATAAGTTAGACAATCAGATAGAAAATGCCATTTCCTTATTCCTAACCTTATTTGAGTCCCCGATTGGTATCTTAGAACAGAAAGTCAAAGATCTAAGAGCAGTTGCAGATGGTCTGGAGCGTGTGCACTATCGTACCACCATGGGCAGCTTGACAGGAGGGGTGGTGAGTGCAATCGGAGGGGTCGCTTCTCTGCTTGGATTAGCCCTGGCCCCTGTCACCATGGGAGCTTCTCTGGCTGTGACACAAGTGGGAGCTGTCGCAGCTCTTGCTGGAGGGTTGGCCAGTGGCGTTTCCAACATCACCAACATGGTTAATGAATCGATGGATCGCAAGAACATTGAACAGATTATACAGGACTTCACCATTTGGATGGAGCCCCAAGCTCCAAGCAGTTAGAGGATGGTCTGGATGAGCTGAGGGAAATCACTAAGGCGCTTCGTGAAGGAGACACACACT